TATTGAACACTACACAATGCGATAGGACCCGTATTGAACACTACACAATGTGATGGCACCCATATTGAACACTACACAATGTGAAGGTACCCATATTGAACACTACAAAATGCAAATGGCCTCCATATTGAACACTACACAGTGCGATGGGACCCATATTGAACACTACACAATGCAAATGGCCTCCATATTGAAAACTACACAATGCGATGGGACCCATATTGAACACTACACAATGCAAATGGCACCCAGACTGAACACTACACAATGCAAATGGCACCCATATTGAACACTACACAATGCGGCGGCACCCATATTGTACACTACACAATGCGGCGGCACCCATATTGAACACTACGCAATGCGGTGGCACCCATATTGTACACTACACAATGCAAATGGAACCCATATTGTACACTACACAATGCATATTGCACCCATATTGAACACTACACATTGCGATGGCACCCATATTGATCACTACACAATGCTATGGCACCCATATTGAACACTACACAATGCGGCGGCACCCATATTGAACACTACACAATGCGGCGGCACCCATATTGAACACTACAAAATGCGGCGGCACCCATATTGAACACTACACAATGCGGCGGCACCCATATTGTACACTACACAATGTGATGACTCTGTGATGCCTTTTTCTTGTATCAGACTATGGATTGAGAAATATCCGTAAAGAAGAATTTGGTGATGATGAATATGAAGAGACTTACCAGAAACAAATGGCAAGAGTCTATCTACCACCTGAAGCATTAGACGATCCAAAGAATATATATCTACCTACAACCGATGTGTATAGGTAAGTGATATTTATAGTGTGGTGGCTGACTAAGTCAATATTCACCTGCTGACAACCATGGTACAATGGACGACTGAGTCAATATTCACCTGCTGACAACTATGGTGTGGTGGCTGACTAAGTCAATATTCACCTGCTGAAAACCATGGTGTGTGGCTGACTAAGTCAATATTCACCTGCTGACAACCATGGTACAGT